TTTCATCTGCCTTGTTTAACAACTACAAAATAGTGCTGGAGCTCACTTGTAATTATTTTTGTAGTAGTTTTGGTCTAGAAAACACGACCTAGAGTGTTATTTTCTTGACACAGCAAAAACTGCGTATTGTAGGAGATTGGTTAAGAGGCGCTAGAGTGTAGACGTGTGCTTTGGTGCTCCGATGATAAGTTCGTAGACAAGACACTGAAATATACCTCTCCTGCTCCCTGGGTTTAGCCTTTACTATTCAAAACGTGTAGAAGCAGAAGGATGCCACCGAAAAAGTAAGTTCAGACCCAAGGAAAGCGAGCGAGGGAAGGTAGTTCTAATAGCGACCAAGATGGCGACACTATTTTCCTTAAAATGCCAAAACGGATTTCAGCACTGGATAGCAAAGATAAAGAAAACACGAAGAGATCAGAAAATATGCAAACTGACCTCGACCAGGCAAATGCAGAAATCTCTCTGCTACGCGAGCAAGTCAAGTCGCCAGAGGAATCCCTTAAATTTACATAAGCAGAGCATGAATTAGCTCTTATTAACCGAGCAGGAGGTCTGTATGGGAGAATCTTGACCGAGGTCGCGAGTACAGACCGAACGCAGTGAGGTCTGTGCACACGACCGAGGTCAAGATTCTCACATACAGACCAACTTAGCTCGGTTAATAAGATGTTTATTATGTGGCAAAGAAGAAAACTTTAATTCGTTTAACGTAACTGGTTTGTACTAGCTGACATTTTGCTTGCGAACGGCGATGAGCTTAACTTAAACCTGCCGAAATTNAACGGGTCTGGGTGCCGGTCTAGATGGGGAAATCTAGATCGCGGTCAATATCGATTTCAGCCAATCAAATTCGTGAATTCGATAGTTCCCAGTCCTTGTGAGACACAGCCATATAATAAGAAGTTTTAACAAGTGCGAAGATGAACTTATCCGACAGAATATTTACAGCAGACGTTGAAACTTAATCATATATGGGATAGAAGAGTCAGAGACAGAGAACTGTGTATCTCAAGTCAAAAATGTAATGTTGTCCGTTTTGAAGATTAACGAAGAAATAGTCAATTCAATTAATTAACGAAGAAATAGTCAATTCAATTAATTAACGAAGAAATAGTCAATTCAATTAATTAACGAAGAAATAGTCAATTCAATTAATTAACGAAGAAATAGTCAATTCATGGCGCGCATCGTTTAGGTAAGTCTAAACAAATTAGTGGAAGGCCCAGACCAGTCATTGCGCGTTTAACTTGTCGAGAAGATCGAGACCTGGTTTGGCGACAAAGATACAACCTAAAAGGCAGTCGTTATAGGGCTATCTGTAAAACAAGGAACGGGGAAACGGGGAATTGGAATGGGAAACGAGGAATGGGAATGGGAAACGGAGAATGGGAATGGGAAACGGGAATGGGAAACGGGAAACGGGAATGGACAACGAGAATGCGAAACGGGGAACGGGGAACGGGGCATCATTAAACTGGGGAATCTTTAATAGCGGGAATCTTTAAAGGCGGGAATCTTTAAAATGGGGAATCTTTAAAACGGGGAATCTTGAAAAGCGGGAATCTTTAAAAGCGGGAATCTTTAAGAGCGGGAATCTTTAAAATGGGGAATCTTTAAAATGAGGAATCTTTAAAATGGGGAATCTTTAAAATGGGGAATCTTTAAAAGCGGGAATCTTTAAAACGGAAAATATTTAACAGCGTTAATCTTTACTGAAAAGTGAGCTAGAATTTCTCGGTTTCGCACCGGGCGCTATTTATTCTGTCACATGTATCAACTCAACAGGTACAGAGACAGTTGTGAAAGTTATTCATGGTAATTATATTGCACGCTATTAAGCACATCGGTTTAGCGGGATAGTGGAGCGGTTCAAATCTCGATTCTCACTCTTTGCGATCCGCTACACCGACAGAGGAATCGGACCGCCTGGATTTATCTTATTTCCGGACTGTGACGTTTTTAAATTGAGTTTCGTGGCGATAGATATTTGTCCTAGCCTTACTAATGGTAGGACTTACGACTTAACGACAAATATATGTCAAGGAAAACACATTTTTGGTTATTTAATCGATCAATCAACAGTCCCCTAAATCTGGTTTTCACATGACGTCGTTAAAATTCAAACTACAAAACTATTGATCCTCCTGAGATTTTACTTTCATGATGTATAAGAGCGGCTGAAAACTAATATTCATACAAATTTTCGCTCTAAGTGGGTTCTTGGTTTTGTAATAGACTATGCTGAATTTCTAAGCTTTTGCGTGACGAGGCATTTACATTTGGTTAAAAAAGTGACTGGGAATTTGGCTATCTGAACAGTTCATGTCGTGGAAAAAGTATTATTTTAATGTTTTTGAGTTCCTGGAGAGACAAATTCACGTTTTTGTAGCCAAACTCAGTGACAGATGTTTCCGTGGGTTTCCGGCCTGCCATGCGGATGAGCACCAGCATGGCGTCTCCATAAAAATCTCTATAAATTTGGGAAAAAAAAAAACTTCTCCGCATATCTTGCGTAAGAAACATTGCTGTGACCTGAATCTTGGCGAGAGTCTTTGCATATTTACCTTCTTTCTTTTCAAGATTCTGGACTTTATCTACCGATCTGTTTTGGTTTTTATTTTGATTTATTTTGAACGGCGTGACACTGAAAACCAGCAATACAGTAATTCGATGTCTGAACGATGCGGCGGCGAATTTCGCGTATAATTTCGCATGTAATCCGTCATTGTGTGCTTCATGATACCTCTTTCTACGTCATGCGGTCATGCGAAGACAATTTCAAAGTGCCTATTGCATTTACTTAAAGTGCCACTGAAACGAAATTTTCGTATGTGAGATTTTTGCTTAGTAATAAAGTTTCAACC